TTTAACACGGTTTCAGAAGACTACGTTATAATTCTGAAATGTACAATTTACAGAGATGTTTTTCATTCTTGAAAAAGCTTATATGCGTCTCTTTGAAAAGTAACAATTTTATTTACTTGGTATAATATCACCTTGTGTTTTTGTACTGTCACTGATGTACGTGCCAATGTTTTATTTTTTTTCTTTGTATGACAAAAAAAAAGTTTTATTTTCAGTACCGTTTTCTGTAATTTTGCTGTCTCAAATCTAGAAAAAGAAAGGAAATGAGGAAGTTAAAAAAAAAACATTGGAAAGCAGTGAGGCCTTACGTGACTAATAGTATTGTTTGTACTTTGACTTTCTGGTCAACACTCAGACTCATCTGTCTCTGTTGTCTCAGACTCTCCTCATTGACTATTACATTCCAAAGAATTGGATCAAATAAATGTTTTAATTAAAAGCTGAGCTGCTTTTTCTTTCTAACATCAAAGATATATTTTCTATTCATTACATAAAGCTTTATTTCTATTTAAAAGGGTTTTCACTGCAGCAATTTTGTCATATGCAGATGTTACTTTAAAATATTTTGGCGTCACTATGTGACAAGGACCGGATACCTCAGATGATGGAAAATCCTCGGTTAACACAGTGTTTCTCCTTACTTTTTAACTTTGTTTGGGAGACTTTTGACTACCTACAGGACACTTTAGGGCACAGGTGTCGAACTCCAGGCCTCGAGGGCCGGTGTCCTGCAGGTTTTAGATGTGTCCTTGATCCAACACAGCTGATTCAAATGGCTAAATTACCTCCTCAACATGTCTTGAAGTTCTCCAGATGCCTCATATGAACTAACCATTTGATTCAGGTGTGTTGACCCAGGGTGAGATCTAAAACCTGCAGGACACCGGCCCTCAAGGCCTGGAGTTCGACACCCCTGCTTTAGGAGTTACCAAGAGGGTTTAGCATGTTGCTGCCAACACACCAGGCACGGGACATTAAAGATTTCAGGGATGGGTTAAAATTTCTGGCTTTTATTCTTTTTTCTGGACAAATTGTGATTAAGCTAAAGCTACAGCTGGATGAAGGTCAGTTTATCAAAAATACTGGACACAAATCCTGGCATTGTAGAAAAGTAACCACAAATGTTGCCTACAAAATTTCCTATTTTCCTATTGGTCTGTGAGACCCCTCTCTACATGATGTGTAAGTTTTGCTTTGCCTGTCTTATTATTGCTCAAGACATGTAATGCGGTTTGGCACACCGAAGCTCAAGATTGTCAATTATCCGGCTTGTACAAAAAATGAAAATCTTAAAAAGCACAAAGCAACCTAGAATCAAAGAAAGTTCACCTTCAAACTAAAGGTTGTTCCTTTTGAACACAGTGTAGCAGAATATAAAACAGTGAAAAAAGTTTCCCAATTAGACTTTTGGTATCTCATTTTAGAAACATCTAGTCATATTGTATTTTCTATGAACAATAAAAAAGGCAATGTATCACTATCTTTTGGCAAAAGTACACAAATTTGTCACAGGTAGAAGTACAAATACTTGTGTTACAAAAATACTGTATTAGAAGTTGAAGTGCCACACTTCTTTACTCAAGTGAAAGTGGAAAAAGTACAGACAGTGAAATGTAGGGCTGTTCGATATAATGATATATATCGGCTAACGATATAAAAACGTCTATTGTTTCATTTTACGCTATTGTGTGTTTCTTGGTGTCGCAAAATAAACTGTTTACGACAATATTTTTTCATCGTTTTGATGGACACTGTAGTGGCTATATTAATTTCTTAAAGTTCTCTCTTTCTCTTATATTTAATATAACCACACTACAGACCGACAAGCGCCTGTTTTTATGCATTGTGGTTAGCAACAATGACAGTAACACCATCGCGTGTCTGCTTGTTTATGTTCCACATAAACCTTTCACAATAAAGCTCAAGATCCTGTTGAGACTTTTCAAAATAAACTGAATCACGTGAAAGAGCAGATTATTTACGGATGAGAAGCAAAAAAGAGCCGCCAGGTGCTAAAAAATAGACCTTAGACTCAAACGCTAGAACAGGCTGTTCCCCGCAGCACCCTGTGTAATAAATACTCACAAAGAAAACGGCGGCTGTTACAACTTATGTCTAAAAATGTATCGTTTCATGCATCGGTTAAAACACTCGACTCCAGCTACATGACGCGCAGCTGGAAACACTTCACACAAGTCGAGCTGCCCGAGATTCACAGAATTTACAGAAAATGTTACATTTTTGTGATTTATATCGTTATCGGATGATAGAATTCTTATATCGGGATATGAGATTTTGGTCATATTGCACAGCCCTAACTCAAAGTATAAAACTGAAAAGCTCTTTGGAGGACATTTCTACCAACAACTTTGGTGCAAATCTCAATATAATAATTAAATATTAACACAAGGAAATAGAAACTTTATTTCAACTTAAATTTGAATTCCAATTAATGTAGTCAGCTTGAACGTCCGCTTTTGTGGAAAAAAAGAAGGGGAAACAATGTGAATTCTAAAAAATTAAATATCTATTGTTGCCTTCATTGCAGACAGATGGCGTTACCTTCACACCTAAACAGAAAAACCAGTAAATTGAGATTGAGCAGGTGGGTGAAACGTTAGATTGGTTGTAGTGGTGCAGCGTGGGAAAAATAGTAACTTATAATCATTTATATAGAGAAATAAGTCACAACAACTGTGCTGCTGCTCTTTGTGAATTTTAGCTAAATATTTGTACTTTGCTTTTTTTCAACCCTCGGCTTATAAATAAAATAATGTCATTCATATCATGTTGTACATCTGTTTTCAGAATGCTTTAGATACCAGTATTCAAGAGCATCTGGTCTACTCCACCCAAAACCCTGAACTGGTTTATAGAAAGACAAAAATTTCATGGATGTTTGTTTTTTCCCAGTAATTTCAAGCATCCCTTTGCTATGTTGTGTTTTGCCCACAAAGAGGCAGCATTGACCCTATTAATACTATATGTGACACGATCATATGCCAGATGCAAAAACTAAATGCATTTCTATGGCCTGTACTTGTATAGTGCTTTACTAGTCCCTAAGGACCCCAAAGTGCTTTACACAACCAGTCATCCACACATTCACACACTGGTGATGGGAAGTTACATTGTAGTCACAGCCACCCTGGGGCACACTGACAGAGGCGAGGCTGCCACCGGGCCCTCTGACCACCACCAGTAGGCAACGGGTGAAGTGTCTCGCCCAAGGACACAACGACCGAGACTGTCCAAGCCGGGGCTCAAACCGGCAACCTTCCAATTACAAGGTGAACTCCCAACTCTTGAGCCACGATTGCGCCGTTTCTATTCTCATACAACTTCTGACCTGCATAAATGACAACATCTTTCTCACACCAGGTAAGTCTGATTTCGTGTGAACTTCAGTTTGTGGCTTTGTTTCAACTTAGGTTTCCTGCCCAAATCGGACCCACTTCACCACTTTCTCACCCTCTTTTTTTTGTATCCGCAGTTTTATTTCCTGGAGTAACACTATACTGTGGTTTGCACTGATGCCTCACAGCAAGCAGGTTCTGAGTTCAAACCCCTGCTGTGCCCTTTACCTGTATAGCCTGCATGCCTGTGTGGTTTCTCTTGGTTATTCTACAGGACATCTATGTTAGGTTAATGGGTAATTCTAAAGTGGCTATGGATGCAATGCAAATAAAGTGCCGAAATTATAGAATATGGTTATGCCGTATGGTTAAAATGTGTCTTTTAGTCTTAAGGGCTTTAACTGGCCAGTAATACTTCAACTCTATTTGTGCAAGTGCATTTTAAATCTATGCTAGACATCTAACATTGATGGTACTCGACCTTAACATTATCCTTATCATCTTATCATGCAAACCAACCGTCATGCATACAATGCAAATAATGAATGATTCAAAATGTAGTTTTCTGGTGTTCATTTCTCATATATATATAAGGATGAAGTAAGTGTGTTCATGCTGCTACTATGAATCCTCCAGACTGGTTCAGCAAATGCAAACATCGCCATATAAGAAGTAACTGCTAAAACTGTCAGTGAGAGGTCATCAAAGCTGAAAAGTTGAACTGCTACGACTACTAAAGCACAGTAGCTGTTAGCATTCTTTTTTTAAATCTTTTTTTTAATTTTTTTTTTTTTTTACAGGAAATAGGTCTAGGTGACAAATGACTTAATCTTCATACTGTTCACAGAGGAAGTGAAGAATCTGGGAAACTAAGCGCAGCAGAGCTAAAAACAAACAAACAAAAACCCTCTGCAGATGAACTTCCTAGTTGAGATAGTTTGGTGGAAGGTATCTTAATACAAGGACTTGTGATTTGTTTAGATTACATTTCAAATAAAAAATATTGCATGAGCCTATAAAATTCTGTGTTTGCTCTTTAAATCTTTTTTGTAAAATAACGCTATAACTGAGTATTTACCTTTACAGTATAGTGCAGAACTACTAAGTAGCCTGAAATAGAAGTTATAAAGCAATTATTTTAAAAATACTGTGTATATAATTCTGTTGAATGAATACACTATCATTACAAAACAGTGTTTAAACTATTGCATTGTGTCACTTTTCATTGTGATTCATGCCTAAATATTGCACACAATGTTCTATACTTAATTTTTTTTTACATACGTATTAATTTCTTTTTCAAATATTCAGATTTGCTGTGGGGCTTCTCTGCTTTGTTCATAGTCCACCCAATGCCACCCCATTGAAAAATTCCTCGAAACGCCCCTGGTATCGGCATATCAAAAGCGAAAAACAAACAAACAAAAATCTAAAAAAATGTATCTTGTGTGAAAATTAAGAACGATATTTGCCTTTGAATATAATTATTTGAGTGTAAATTACTTTTACACTGTGCATATGTGTGTGTATGAGTGTTTACTTCAAAGGCTACAGCCTGCGAGATTGTGCGTGTGACTTTTCACCGCATCGAGGGTGAAAAAGGGTTCACTGCTCTCTCCTGTGTGGTTGTTCGTTTCCCCTCTGCGTGCCGCAGTTGTTCCTGTGTAGGCGGAGCTAAATAAGAAGAGGTTTATGAAGTAGGGGCATAGAAAAAACACCCAGCAGCACCAAATTCACGGCGGTAACGTGTTGGTTGAGCGGGGTCTCAAAGAGCCTTATCTATTATTGAGAAGGCTCACATGAATAAACGTTAACTCCGCCCGTTTTTAATCGCTAACGTTACGTCCGAGCGGTGCGGCTTAATTAGCTAAAACAAAGCGGACCCTCAGAACAGTTCTAGCTAGTCTTCGCTTCAGTTACCGGTTATATTCCGTTTGACGAGGACACTTTTTGGAAGCAAATGTTACTGTAAATCTACACAGACGTCACAAAGGTATCGGCTTAAGGTGAGTGGTTTTATTTTAACCGACATTTGTGACATTTACCGGCCTGCCATGGCTGAAATCACAATGACGATGGGGGAGAAGCAAAGAATGTGTGTCTTGAGGCTAAAAAAAAGTTTGGGTGTGGATTAACGGCAACTCTAGCTAGCGGTTTAGTTTTTAGTTCAGTGTTGGTTTCTTTGTTTGTTCAGCTCTGTAGCATGTGAAATGTTGGCTTGTTTAAAGCTACACCTCAAGCAGGCTCCTCGATAAAATCTCAAATTGAGCTTTGTGCTGAAAGTAGGCCAAAAAGTAGCCGCTTTGTACTACTGAAGAGGGCAGTGTGGGAGGCTAAACTGTGAGTGGACAGTGGGATTTGTCCCTCAAAGGGAGCTGCTAACAAAGCTTAATCTTGTTGAATCAAATCAGATATTTAGCAGAGGCTTAAATTGTTTTCCAGTTTTTTACTTGGCTTCTTGTTATACAAAGTTGTAGTAGTTATTGTGGTGTTGTGAAGTCATCAGATTTGTAAAATAATTGCTTTTAATTCCCAAGTTATCAATCAGAAACTGCCTGGTTTGAATAAACAATGTGGTCATTTGGCTCAAAGTTTAAAGCCACCCCCACTGTGTCCTAAACAGCCTTTAAGTTTAGTCTGCTGTCCTGAGAATAGAACTTCCCTTTTGTAGACCCACACCACCCTGGGAGACTTGTAAAGAATATCTTGAAGAGACCACAGCTGGACTATGGTTTGGTTAGACTGCATTATGGACTGTAAACTGTGGTTGAGGATATAGTAAGATCCAGGATGACTTAAATCTAGGTCAGCTTGGTTAACCAGATTCTTAAGAACCTCTTGTTCAGCCTTGGCCACAGCTGTGATTCAGCTATGTTGACGCCAGCACTCCAGTTGGACAAGATTGGTCTTGCTTGCATCTTCCTGTAAAGGAATAGCAGCCTCGGGCTGTGTTTTGTCTTCCCTGAGCAAGCTGAGTTGGTTGAAGTAGTAGTTGGTGGCCATCTAGTTGTTGCTTTAATAAAGTGACTCGTGTTAATTACTGACCAGTCTTGGCTTGTAGACAGCATTATAATGACATGGTAACGGTGTCATATGGAGGTGTGACAAACACCTATGTATTTGATCTTGTACAGCAGTAGAGCACAGATAATGTTCACCAGGCATGTTAATTCCAGACATGCCTGCAGACTGTAGCCAAATGTGCACCAGTGAGTCACTTCCTTAGTTACATTGTTGTGCTGTTTAGGCAAGGCCCTGCAAGTATCCGGGGGAGTTTTGGAGGGTCATTTAACCTTACTCAGTGCCTTAGCCTGCTTCTGACTGGTCAGATGTGAGTCACAGATTACAGGACCTCCAGTGACGGCAAGACAAAGCAACTGGGAGTGTTTGTTTGAGGAGATATAATCATGATCCTTTCATAGATATTATGAGGCTTGAGTCAGTGGTAAAATGTGGTAGTTCTCACATCTAAGAGGAGAAAAGTTTCATAACACTTCATCGTTGTATTTTTACTCAGTTGTATATAGTATTTGTATTTGTATTCTATTTTTATCTTATTGTATATTTATTTTATTTTATTCTACTGTATATAGTATTTTATTCTATTCTGTACAGTTGTGTACTGTATTTATTCTTATTGTATTCTAATTTTTGCCTCATAACTTTTGCACTGTCCACTTCCTGCTGTGACAAAACAAATTTCCCACGTGTGGGACTAATAAAGGTTATCTTATCTTATGCAGAAAGAAACGCACGAAGGTTGGTAGATGGACCCGAGGCCATTTTTACAGTGGATTTGTACTTCTGCGTTAACTCAATGCTCATAGGTATAGTGTTACCACAGACCCTTCTGTAACCATATGCTGTAACTTGACTTGTAGCTTCCTAGAAATGTAACTGCACATCACCAGGTGGGTAATCCTTTTATGGTCAAAATGAATCCATTTGCAGCCTCTTAAACTACAAGGTCTCGCTGCTTGGTTTCTCACTTTAAAGCGAAAATGTTTGCCTCATTAACTTTCGGCTGGGAAAAACAAGACGTGAAGACACAACCCTGTGAATCATCAGGGTTTTGCTTTGGTTACAACAGGTCTTATTAAAATCTGTTATAAGTCAGAGTAAAAGAAATTTCCCAGAATAACCTCTCTTTTGGTGAAAAGCCCCCCCATGGTTTAAAATGGAGCACTGTAACAAAAAATAATTTCCCCCAGGGATCAATAAAGTATTCTGATTCTGATTCTGATTCATCCCCCAAAAATGTAAAGACTGCTGGCCTGCTGTAATTGATGGAAACAATGATAAAATTACATTACAAAACATTTAGCATGAGCAATTTCAAAGCCTTTGGAAGTACGTCAGTTAACTAATTTATACAGTGTTTAATGAAATCCAGCCGTAGTAAATTCTTAATGCAGTTTTTATTTAGGGAAAACTGTTCTGGCATGTAAAAGATAACTGAGCAGCTAAAATGTTCTCACTTGGGATCAGACTGAGTAAACTCTGTAAACAGAAAGAGACATTTACATAGTTTCCCACAACATAAATTTGGAGTTTGTTAAATATCGAATGCATTATCTCATCCCTCTGAGGAATGTTGAGAGATGGGGATCTTTTTCATACCTGAAAAAACTTCAAACAAACTCTACAAACATTTTTCAGCTAAAACAATAGATTTATCTGTGTCAGAGTAAGATTTCATGACTGCTGGATATCTAACACACTGGGTATGTTGGATTTACTCACATTTTTTTTTTTTTTTTTTTTTAGATTTTAAAAGCAAGAGCTCACAGGCTTAGGCTCGTCAGAATAATCAAATCTCACCTTAAACTTTTTTTTCTTCTTCTTTTCTTTTTTGCAACAGATAGTTTAGGTAAAACGAATACTTTGACTTTGTTGATAAAGAGGTCAATATAAAATAAAGATCTGCATTCTTGACAATTAAGGCATCAGCTGAACAATTGTTGGTGGAAAGAGTAACTTCCCTTCAACTGTTTTTTCTAGTCAGCTGGTTGCCAGATGATGGTTTCTGATTCTGTAACAGGAAAAAAGTACACAAATTATGCACACGCAACGAAAGGAAAAACAGCTAGAAAGTAGAACATGGTTTTTGGAAGTGCTACAAGGGAATCACTGAAATTGCAAGCGGGTCATTTCCTTCAACTGTGCTCTGACAATGGACGTGCCCATCCTGATCCTTCAACGGCCTATTGGATGAGGCTGGGTGTGGTTTGATTAAGGAAATTGATGAAAAGTCACGCTGAGTTGTTTGGGGGCCTAATGAACCAAGAGTAGACTGTGACTTTCAGCAGCAGATGTGGACCGGGTGGCAAACAGAGCTTGGTTGTGGGGGAAGGGTGCTCGACTCGGTCTCTGAACTCCCAGATGACCCACTCTGTAAGAACAATGGGGACTTGTGTTGTAAACCATCTTTCACTTTTGCATATTTCTCAGAGAAGATTTGGAAGAGTCACGCTTTCACCAGTGCGCTTGCTACAGTAGCTGTCAGTTTTTTTAAGGCCCATATTGTGGCATTACATGATATCCATTACATAATGAATAAATGTACATTGAAACAAGGCGGGAAACCATGTCAATGTGGAACTTTTAAAGATGGTGTTTAAAGCAACAGCTTGAGCTAGAGAAATCAAACTAGGTTAGATTTTTGAAAGCTGGTGCTGCCATGCTGAGCTCACAGTTGCAGTCAAATATGGTGCTATTGAAGTTTGTCCACATTTAATTTAAGAACACACAATTGCGTCTCCTTTCAGGTGCACATGGATAGCTGCATACATAAACACCACCTCTATCCTGAAAAGCCTTTGTGATGATTTTCTGCTTAATTTATAGAAACACTAAATGTTTTTTTACCAGTGGTTGTACAAAAGAAGCAATTTATAGATGTTTGTTTCCATGTTTGGATTTAGAAACTTCGTGTGAAAAATTAGATGTTTGATAACATTTAATTGAGAAAATAACTGAAAGATTAATTAAATAATCATTAGTAAAAGCCCTGGTTTCAGGTAGGAGCCCATTTATTAAATGTAACATATGATATTGGGGATTGTTTGTGCATCGGAAAAGAAATGATTATAATATTGTCTGATGACGATGGGAAAAATGAAAGTGTTACAGGTCTTACTGTGCAGGGATACTGTGCATCTGACCACAGATATCTACACTGCATAAGATCAGACTTCAGAGAGAATAACAGTAAAAGGGACAAAGATGAAGAGCAAAAATAAATTTAATAAAGTAGATTAGTATCAGAAATTGTCACAGCAACAAGTTCACAATATTCAGTGTCTAATAGTGTGATGCACATTTAAAATGATGTAAGCCAACAAGAAACCAAGTGGCTAACCTCAGCTCACATGAAACCAGAAACCAATGAGAAACGAGCAAGAGTCACGAAACATTTTCCACGTTAAATATTGGCATGCACAAATGCAAATAGTTGGCATAAAGTGATATGTTTTTGTTCAGAATTGGTGCTTATTCTTTTCAATAATTTCATTTATATGTATGACTTTTTTGTTTAAGTCATGGGCTAAAAAAGTGCAAAGATTATTCAGCCCGTGTGGGTAGAGTGTTGTCTAGACAACCATTTGTTTTCTTTTGTTCTTTTATTTATTTATTTATTTATTTATTTTTTATTTTCAGCCTGAGGAAGTCGAGGAAGCTGCACGTCAGCAGAACCTATTTGGCAGGAAGCTTTTTGCGGGTGTTCTGAATACATTTGAGATTGACATGGGGGGGGTGCAAAGTAGACGTAGGCTTTTAGATCATGTCATGCTTCTATTTTTCGTGTTTATCACATAACACTTTGTACAGAAACACGATTTAGCTTTAAAACACCATAAACACAGCCAGTCATTATTGTTTTGGACTGCGGTCATCCACAATTTAAACAGACATATATATTATGGAATACTAAATACTAACAGATGTGCTTCCTTTTCACCACACCGGGCTTAACTGTTCATATTTGTATTGACAGGCAAGTCAC